GAGCATGCAAGCAACAATGCTATACGAGGCAACTAGCATATAACAATATGCAAAGAGAAGCATGCAAACAAGCATGTAACTTAACAAGTATGCAAGATGGATAAACATGCAACAATATGTCAATAGGCTAACATTTAATAACATGCAAAGGCAAGCATACTTAGACCAATGTAATACATGCATGATGAACTTAACAAAGCAACACAAGCATGCAATAGGCAATAGGCAATAGGCATACAACCTAAACATGTGAACATGTATAGCATGCAACAACATGCAAAATGAAACAAGCATGCAACAACATGGTGAGATGGACTTACACGAACATTGGTAGCTCTCAAGCATACCAAAATCAGTGGCCAAACATGATGGAAATGAGGCAACAAAACACATGCAAACATGCAAGGTGCAAGGGCTCTAACTCATAGCACAAGATGCAACTCTCCTCCTGCATTGAAAAGATGAAGTATGGCATATAATGGCATATATTCCAACTCTGAAATGACATACAAAATGGTTCCGAATCATGCAAACGACTCACACAATGCATGTAGGAAGGCTCAAATACCGAAACTAGTGAAGCACATTACACTAGAGGTATGCAAAGCGATGCTCGAATGACCAAGCCAATCCCAAACAGTCCCTATGCAGGCCCAAAACAGTGGCAAAATGGACTAAGATGATGCCTTGAAGTGCACAAAAATGAAACTCATGCAATGGCTCACAAATGGGGTATAAAAGCACAACTCTCAAACACATTGAAGGCATGATAGACATGAGAATATGGCACACCTATAAACTCTGAAATATCACATTCAATGATGCGAAAACACTAAATGCCTCAAGCAACACATGCAAGGGACCCCAAAACTCAAAGGTAAGCAAGGCTATTACACTACAACCATGCATGGCAAGCACCAATCGGCCAAGAGGCCTAAAAACAAAGCTAAGGCAGCCCAAAATATGAACAAAACATGTTTGGAGTGTGGCCAAAAGGTGCTAGAATAGGGGGCCAAAACAACATGCAATGTGAGCTAGTAAGCATGATTTACACTACAAGCCTATGAAGCATGTAAGGGGCCACCAAACCAGCCAAATACAGAATCATGGCATGCCAAAATATGACCAAAAACCCACTGAAACATGGTCAATACATGCAAGAATGATGCGCTACTTTGATAAGCTATGAAAGGGATTAGTCTACACATGCAAGAGGCAAACAAACAGGGACCAAACCAGCCATGGACAGAGGCTAGGCAGGTCCTAAAAGTCACCAAAAAGTGCCTGAAATAGGCCTCCAAATGATATAAACATATGCTCCTTTGATAGGCCAAATATGCTAGTAAACAAGACAACAAAGAAGAGGGGATGGCCCTCTCATTCTTAGGACCTCAAAACACCATCCCACAAAGGAGAGGGGATTTCAGTGGTGAGAAGGCCAATACAAGGTGGTCCCGAAGCTCACAAAAAAGGCACAAAAATGAGGCCAAACAAAGCCTAAGAGGGGGTAAACAAACCCAAATACAGAAGTGATCTTAAACAACAAAAGTGATCTTAAACAAAGATTAAAAGCATGAAAAAACAGAACTTTTATCAGTTATACACTAAGCTCAAAACAGCATGCAAGATAGGCTAAAATCTTGTGCAAAAATGGGGAATAAAGAGGGAAAAGGAGTTACCCTTGTAGCTCAGCAAAACCAGCAGGTTCTTGGACCAAAAACGAACTCTTTAACCTCTAAAAATACCCTCCAAGAACCTTAGATGAATGGTGGAGGTGTGTGGTTGTGAGGTGGTGTGCAAAGGGGCCAAGAATCTCACTCTTTTAAACCCAAAATATAGAGATATAGAGAGAGAGATATCTCTTGTGCCTTAGGCAAATTTTTCAACCTCTCTAAAAGAGAGGGAGGCCCTCTCTTATAGAGAAACAAGAGGGTTCAAGCTTCTTGGAGAAGCTAGAGCAAAAGGTTCAAGCTTCTTAGAGAAGCTAGAGCAAGGGTTCAAAAGGTTCAAGCTTCCTCAAGAAGCAAAAACAAAGGTTCAAAAGGTTCAAGCTTCCTCAAGAAGCTAAAACAAAAGTTCAAAATTCTCCATACACGTACACGTGTATAGAGGATAGGGTCTGTGCCAGCTGGCACAAAATATCTGCATAAAGCAGATGAACAGGGTTTGGCCAGCAAAAAATGGCCGATCAACCAACACCATGGCCGGCCGACTAAATAAAGTGTCGATCAGCCAATACACTTGGTCGGTGGCAAGAAAGCAAGGCCGGTGGCCTCAGGCCATGGCCGGTGGGTTAAGGGGGGTGGCCAACAAGCCACTTACTACCCTCAGGTGCAAAAACCACAAGTCCTTGGTCCAGCCAAGCACAAAACAGTCAAGTTAAGAGATCCTAAGGCAAGGCGCGCAACCGAGACCTCCGGGAACTCAAAACGAACACAAACATGGATGATCATCGAGTGTTCAAACGATGACATCCAAGTCTTGAGGACGGTCAAAAATGGGGTGTCTACACCATAATGTTCAAGTCTTTGAATCTTGTTCTTGAATGGTCAAATCTTAAATGTATAAACAAAGCCCACTCACTGAACACTTTTACAGAACCATATGGGAAAAGTGGAAGGAACCGAGTTTCAAACCTATTCTATTCACAAAACAACGTTTGTGTTTGATGGCTATCACAGGCACATATATAAATAGGCTTGGACCCATATCCAAGTGTAACTCCTTATCACTTTCCACCATCAGGGAAGTTGTAAGGTCCCATGAAACCACCATATGGAATAGTGAACAGACGTTAGTTACCCGTTAACCATTAAACTAATTAAATATATATAATAAATATATATAATATAAATAAATAAATAAATAAAACAAACATGTGGCATATGGGCCACTTTATAGATATTCTTACAATTTTTTCTTATTTCTCTCACATTTTTTTTTCCACTTTTCAAATCTCCATCTTAATTCATGATTGAAACCCAATGTAAAAATAATTTTTGACTTAAAGGAGTTCATTGTAATTTTCCCTTTATATTTAAATTACACAAACCTCCGTTAAGATTTGAAAAATATACAATAAGTCCTACAAGTTTGATATAATTATGTTGAGCTCTTTTAAGATTTTGATTCAATTAACACTTAGCCCTCTTTTCATCAAAAAATTCACTTTGTATGAATAAAAAAATAATATTGTCATTCCTTTACATTAAAATGCATAACTTACTAATTACATTATGTATATTTGTATTTTTATGCCATGGACATCAATTTCAATCTCATTAATCTTACTAAACAAGATATCAATATTATTATACTAAAATTATAAAATTTATCGTATTTCTTATCAAATTTCCAAAGAAGTGGATGTAATTTAATAATAAACTTTTGCCAGTATTCTCATAAACGTTTGCCAAAGCCAAGTGTCCATCTGATATAGGGGTGACACGTGTTTGTTGTTTCTACTTCAGCAATATATATGCATGCAAAAAAACTAATCTAGCTTCCATCAGCCTTCCCATCTTCAACTCGTTAAAGCAATTTAAGTCTGTTGGCTATTTTTCACATTTTAAAAGTTAAAAATATGATTTAAGCGTGTGAGTAAGAATTTAAAAAGTTTTTACATATAATAAATGTTAATTTTTATCAAGTGATTGTGTTAAATTTTTTTTAATCTCAATGAATAGAACTTCACTACGTTGTGTTGAAAAGATCAATTAAAACTTTAACTTGAATTCGTAACAAAATGGGAGGGAGAGATTGGGCAGAAATTGCAATTGATTAACCAAATAAACAATTACAAAATGTTACCTTTAGTAAGGACAATTTTGAAACTTTTAAATCGATTGGCTTATGAAATTGCAAGGTTAATCTACTCCTACAAAATATAAATGCAATGCATAAAAGTACAGAAATTTAAAAATAAATGAAATTGACAAAGACGTAGAGTCTGGATTTGGTCGGGGTCTCCTTAATTTTTGCTTTAATCTATTTATAGCTTTCACTTGGCGCTTTCAAAGCAGTTTGGTTGCTCTCTCTCTCCATGATCTCCTTCCTTCTCACTACTTAGAGTCATAATCTTCCCTTCATGCATTTGTAACTACTAGCAACTGCTCTTTGTTAACTCCTTCTTCATGTGCCTTTCATATGTTGTTCATTGTCTTTACCTGTTGAACTTGCATTCGTAGCTCATTTGAACACCTTCGAAGATATGACTCTTCATGATCTCATCAAATACCATAGAATATTATTTGCCGGCCACGTGTTACTTTCAAATTGGATGGTTTAAATGTGACGCCAACAAGATCGTATGCAATTTTATCACAAAATAACATAAATTTTTACATACTTATATAAGTGATCTTATAAAAATGCGTATGTTAAATACAAATTTATGTAAGTTTACTTTTATGGAGAAACTTACATAAATTTATATTTAACTTACGTATTTTTATAAAATTATTAATATATATTTGTAAAAATTTACATAATTTTATGCTAAAGTTGTATATTTCAAACCTTGAATAACAATTCTAATTTCCTTGTGATAATTGCACCAATAATTTAACTTAAAGAGCTACCCATTTTGAAAGCGAGAGATGACACGTGAACGAAGAAAACAAATTAACAATAAATCTAGGGTAAATACGAGTTATTTATTTGTAATATTAAAAGTTATATTTTATTTCTTGAAACTTATAAATCAATAATAAATGGCTCATTTTGTTAATAAATCATTAAATCAATTAATTTTTTTTTAATGATATCAAAAATTTATTTTAATAAATAATTCAAATAATTTTAGTATTCAATAGGAGAGCAGTTAGAAATTTTATTTTTTCAATTAAGGGTTGGTTTGGCATAAACTAAATAATACAAAAAGTCAAAAAGTCACAATCCTATTTAAGTTACATCATCTTATTTAAATCACATCACCTCTCTAACACATCATATCAAACCCAACCCATATAAGCCAATAAGTCAAAAAGTGCATTTTTTTAGAACATCCCAAGCCAACCCTTAATTGAATTGATGAATTTTTATTTTTTTTTAATGTTCATGCCAAAAGATAACTACATTAATGAATTTGAATTAAAGTTTTATTTTTATGTATGCTACGTTACTAAAAATTGTAAAAATAATATTTTTTATGAATGTATCCCCGCCGTACCCGTACCCTAGTTTTTCAAATTTTGTCGTATCCCATATCCGTGCTTCCTAGCTTGCATCTCATGGACACAAATGTAGTTACATATATTTATTTGGCTTATCCAGGGTAGCTGTTTTGGGGAACCAGAATAATGTAACCTTGTGGTCGAAAATTTCACTAGATTTTCCTTATCATGTTTCCTTGGAAACAAAACAGTGAGAGTAAGGAAACATTCACCGTTAACATAAAATTGCACATAGAATCCATGACAATGTAAGAAATAGATGAAACAAGATCAATCAAGAAAACAAGGTAAACCTTTGAAGAAGAGCTGGAACAGCCGTTCAACGGATTTGCAAAAACAGCAGGCAACTTGATGCTGTCTTCAGCATGAGTGGGCAAGTTACCACCAAATCTCGCAGTTAATCCACCTAATACATCACCTTCGACACCATTAACCAAAATCTTAACCTTGACCTGGGAAATAAATTTAGCAAACAAATCATATTATTAGTTCATGTGCAACCTCTTCTCCTTGGGCTAAAAGTCTAGAAAGGAAATAATATTTTGCCATTAAAAATATTTAATAATTTTTCTGGCGTAAGGGGTTTTTTTTTTTTTTTTGATAAGTAAGAGTAAGTATTATTAATAAAAATGGCACCTATGGGGTGCCGCCCCGTATTCAAAAAGAAAAAAGAGCCAACTTCCCAAACTTCAAAGCAAACAAGACTCCATCAAACTATACATCCAAAACAAAACTATTGAAAAGCCTCTACAAAATCCAAAAATAAAAATTGGTTCGAGGATGGATTTATGCCATCTGAGAACCAACTAAACAATATAGACAAAAAGGAACTCCAAAACTTGAAACGAAGCACCTCCACCCCTTCAAAGGTCCTATTGTTCCATCCTCTCCAAATGATCCATATTAGAACCAACAGCACCAAGTTCCCTCTCACAAGCATATCTCCACAGCCATTGCCAAACCACCACAGCAAAGTGTTAGAATCAGAGCTAGGACTGGGAGGCATTATCCGAAGACATCCTACCGAAGCAATCTAGAGGAGGTCCTTCCCCCTCAGGCACTCTCTTAAGAAGTATTTCTTCCCTATCTCCTCCTTTCAACCCATCTTGTTATTTTTTCTTTTAATAAAAAATTATATATATATTGTATTAAAAGATTGTGCCAAGGGGACACAACCCTTTTAAAACCACCAAAAATTTATTTTTTTGTTAAGATTACTTTAGTTGAGTTTTGCCTCAATCCAATTTATTGATGCCCCCACCTTAGATTTTGGAAGTCTCTCCACTAAAAGTAGAATTGCCAAGAGATAACATTTATGAGCATACTAAGTAAGCTTATATAAATTGGTATAAATAGACTTTCAAATGTGTTTGCACATAGCATCAAAGATTAAGATGCACTGAATGTACTTTAATACTAGCAAACACAATTGATAGTGAGTAATTGAACTAAAGTGAAATGTGTAGTTAGTGGTTAAAATGTTGGTACAACTGTGTCAGTATTCTTTCTTATCTTTTCCACTGGTCACCACTCCAACCAAATGATTCTATGATCTAGCGTTACCAATATCATATTCTCTCACTAATACAGGCTAACACTAGCAGACTATAATTTACTGTCTCTTTACAACATCTATGGCGACAAGAAAGAAGGCAGTCAATCCTGACATGGGTCAAGGTGGTTTAGGTTCTTTTGTCCATGAAACCACTTGAAAATCACACAAGATAGAAGTTATGCCCAAATCAGTGCGATGATATTTTCAACCTTTTTTTTTTTTTTTAACTATGTAAGCTTATTACTGCTTTTATGCATGGTTTGCTCCACCTAAAATACTCCACCTCTATCACAAACCCTGCACAAATTGTGTAAGAACATATAGACCTGACGCTGCTTGGATCAGCTACAAAAGCAAAAACCCGTTTGGGAAGTGCTAAAAAAGCCCCCAAAAAAACCTTTCTGGTAATTCCCAAATATATCAGCTTTTTTAGATTCCTGAAACTCCAAAATTATCCCAAATCGCGCACAAATGATGTAACAAAAAGTAATAATAATAAAATAATGAACTGGGTAAGCAAGAAAAATTGAAAAGAAGGAAACTTGATGAACAATTAGTCTAAAACAAATGAATGGTTTAATCGATCGAATGATTGCTTGATTGAAATTTTACCAATCTAAGTAAATTGTCGCAAGAGGGAGATTTGGGGGCGGACCCATAATGCGAAATGTCATCGGCAGACGCAATTGATGTAGAAAACAGTAAGAGGAACCCAAATGTGATAGCCAAGTTCAGCTGAGAGCACTTCATGCCCATTGTTGTTGCCAGTTCCTGCT